AAAAGCAAGGTTATTGCTAATGAAGAGAATGCCCAATCTTTATTGGACTCCTTGTGCTGCCTACTGAATTAATTTGATATTAAAAGACATAGGGAAGCTAAAAAGGGTTAAAAATTATAGTTGAAGTGTACAAGATTTATATACAATTACACATACTTTGATAATGGAACATTGTAGGCGAGAGATTGTCAAAGAGTCCACTACTAGATTCGTAACAATGTTCCTTAATATATAATCACTATTGGGCATCAATACATGATTGCAGTTGATGATACGCTATGATGAGTGGCAATATGATAGATAAGCAATGAGTCAATGTGGATGGGAGGTTGAAAGCATCTTTGTTGACTAGAGGTTATGGGCTCGATACAACCATGTTATTTTTGTAACTAAAAGTCTAATGCAATTGTCGATGTTAGTTGACTCTGATGATAAGTTCAACAATAAGTTTTCTGTTTGATGCGCAAGAGAAGGTATATTTCAAAATAACATATGGACTAATGAGATATTGGCGATCGTCCATCGTAGATGGAGACAACAACTGCATCGTGATATTCCTGCGGCAGGTAATTTATGATTCATTATTGTAATTCATGTTTTTATCTCAATTCTAAGTAAATTTGTCATAATTAATAATATAATAAATCATGTGCAGGGTTCTCTTTAATAAACAAAACTTATACTCAAATGTCATTTAAGATGATGCAGATATCATGGAGGGGTTGATAAACTGTATCTACAGGCTGAAGCCTGATCTTGATACTCAGATGGAGTATATGACGCATGTAAATCTTATGTAATACGTGTTTGTATAAAAGTTTTAATTCAAAATAACAAATTGCATTTCTATGTTGTACTAATTTCTCATATACGCCTCTTGTTATTTGTAGCTTATTATGTACATGGGGAAAAGCGGGTAATTTGCATATAACAATGCCAAAAAAGCAGTTGCAAAATTGCACTCAGGTTACCTATAATATTTTAGTACAATATGATTTGTGTTTTGTTTTTTTTAATTCATTATTTTTCCATTGTTAAGTATTTTTTCTGTTTACCTATGTTAGCAAAATGGTGGACGTTACACGAAATTCGAACAAAAAAACTATAAAAGTTTGTAATCAGAGTACTTAGCCAAACCTGTGCTTCTTTGGGGCACGAAAGAAACTAGAGCACATTCTAGTGGATACATGCCCTTAGGCGGAATAGTTTATAGACTTGGACACTGCACACCTGGTGTATATCCACTACAACTTGAAATTGAGATAGAGACAAATAAGGAAGAACCTCTACTGATTACATGCCAATCAACATTGATTACGTCTTCCAAAAGGACATTGTTGATGAGTGGGTATCGCAAAGGACCCTAGTATTAGACCATGATTTTCTTAGGGGAACAGTTGTCGATATGGATGATAATGCAAACATTGCATCACCCAATAAAGTAGACGTAATAGAGGACATGGACACCGACTAAGAGGAGTATGCAAAGGACAAAGATGAGAAGCATGATGATGAGGAGATAGATGAGGCAATGGAAAACGATTGGCAAGATCCAGTTGTAGAGTAATGTGAAGGGGGACAACATGATATGGTGTTGGATGTACAAAAAAATGATCAATTGGTATTCGTTCGGGAGGAAATCCAGACTCAAGCCGTATCAGCTACTCGATAAAGGAAAAATAAAGCCGTAGCTGACACCGTAATCAGGTTGTTTTCGATGATGACAATGTTGAAGCTGCTAACACAAAACATGGTGGGGGAGATTATAAAAGTTGGACAAGTCTATGAGACTTTGGCCAAAGGGGTATTACGGGAAATATAAGACTCCATCAGGGCTTACTTAGATTTTTCCCCCAATGAACCCTAATAACAAAACATAACAGTACCGTGACCACCCTCACCACTCTCATTACTAATAGTCATTATTAATTGTACTTTGTAACTGCTTATATTGAATTAATGTCAAAATCTAAATTGTCAAAATTTCTCCTTGGTGAACTTTGATAGTGAGACACAACATTCTCTTTAACGCCTTCGCCACTCTCATTACTATTAGCTATTATTGGTTGGACTTTGTAACACCTTCCATTGACTTAATGACAAATTCTAAATTGTGTTGCATATCTCCATAGTCTTCATATATTAATTTATTTTTTAAAAATTAATATATAAAGACTGCATATATTAATTTTTTAAGATAAATGCACAAAGTTGTTTTAATTTTTTTAAGATAAATGTAGGTAATAAGATAGTACATACACTTAATCTATATTTTTTCATGTCTTTTGATTTTCTTTAAGGGGATTTTGACCCTTTTTTTAAAAAAAAATCTACTAGACTAAACCAGCCTGGTTAGCCCAGTTCCTATCTAACCACTTCCGGGCCCATGTCCAATTAACTATTTCATTTCGATTTTTTCAAACATTGGTTCTAGTGAATTAACCAATAAAAATATTCAGATGCAGTCTCCTTCCAAATTTCCATCTTTGAGATGGAATTTGGCCTTAAACTCTCACAATACCATTGACTACCACAAGCATGAACCTAAAAATAAAATGGATGATGAACCTTTAAAAGCTACCATTTTGGATTGTGTTTATAAACATCCATGTTGAATTTTTCTAAATCATCATAACTACATATTTTTTGAGCTGCAAAATCATATATCTACAGTATAATGCATCTAAAGTGACCTAAAATATGTGACAAGTCTTAGATCTATCTCAACTTGATTTCGAGAAGGGAAAACATTTGAATAAGTGTGTCCGATGGACTTCTCCATTCTTTTTTTTTTTTTTTGAAAATTATCAGAAATATACCTTAATTTTCACCTAATTAGAACAAACCCCATACTTTTATTAACCTCGTCCATACCCTGTTTTTTCATTTGACGTTCGATTTACTAAAATGACTTTCACAGTAGTAGTATGTCATTCAATTCTCTTCTTTGCCTTTTTTAGTTTTTTTTAGAGTTGGGAGTTTGGTTGTTTGCAATTAAATTGTCTTGATTTCGTCCTTTTGGTGATGGAAGCAAGGATTAGTTGACTTTCGGTGGAATGAGTACTGGATTGGAGGGATTCCTTTGTTTTAATTCATTTTGAATTTGTGTTTCTTACTTGTTGGAAACGCTTATTGTGCTTCAATGCGTTTTTTTTACGGGGTTTTTTAATGCGTTTTTGCTCCTTCTTTTTTCTTTTTTTTCTTGAATTTAATTTCCATTATCTTAATGGAAAATCACTTAGGAATCTGTATTTCCTTTTTCTTTCTTTTCATGTAGGATGAGTTATAATCAAACTATAGAGTTCTCGCTATCTCTCACGTTTTGCCTTTGTTATATGCGGTTTCTCTCTTGAAAATCGATATGAATATTCTTTTTGGAAACTCTTAAATGGATGATGAATAGATGTAAAAACATTTCGATATGAATATTTCCTTTTGGAAACTCTTAAGTAGATGATGAATGAAGGTAAAAGCTTTCATATACAGTATTTTAAAATACGTACGCTATGCTTTTCGAGTGCATAGTTTACTATTATTTTCTTCTTCATTTGAGAGGATTTTTTGGATATGAAATTTTGATAACCACCTTAGAATCACTCTATGATTATTCTAAAAAAAAACAAAATTTTAGCATTACGGTACTTATACAGTAATGAAGCCTTAAGTAACGTAATAAAACCCTTTAGCATTACAGTACTTACAGTAAAAAAAGGCTAAAAATACGACTACAGTTAAGACTATTTTGGTAAAAAAAGTGCTAAAAACGAGAAAAAATGGTATGAACGAGGTTAATGAAAGTATGAAGTATTTTATAATTAAATATGTGGATATGAGGGTGCATCCCTAGTGTGAGGGTATACCCAAGTGGACCACACCTCTTCATGTTTGACTTACGTTACTACATGAAGGGAAGTGATGAGAGGTTGCATCTCTTCATGAGGGGTTCCCCTCCCATGAATGACATTCATCATACACCAAAAATGTGCTAATTCATGAGGAATAACCTCCCACATGCATGAGATGGTCATTTATCTCATTATAAAAAGGGGACGGATGGATGTCTCTACATACTACAATACACGAGAAAGTGTGAGAGTTAAACTCTTGAGAGAGAGAGTACAATCCTTTTCCTATTTGAGATCTAATGAGACATCCAGCCTTGAGAGATAAAAGAGTTGTCGAAAAAGTCGAGCTTGTACTGCTACTATCACATTTTGTGAGAGTGTTCATGAGCTTCTACCTCGTTCGGGATTTGCGGTGTGGAATATATTTCGAAAGCTCTAGTAATTGTCGAATGTGTCTATGTGAGTTGATCGTTTATTACATTCGTTCATCAAAATTATTGTGCGAGCACTCATATGTGATATCAGGTTTCCCGTTGTTTTGTTTTTTTTCGTTTTAGCCATTGGGCCATTGGACCGTATATTTTTAATAATTTTTCTTTTTTTTTTCAGCAATTTAGTGGGAAAGACATGCGTTAGCTCTATATTTTTAATAATTTCTCTTTTTTTTTTTCAGCAATTCGGTGGGAAAGACCTGCGGTAGCTTTTTTTTTTTTTTTTCCAGTAACGGATTGATAAGAAAGTTAACATTTTATTATTTTATTATTATTATTTTTAAAGTGACTCAACGGTGAAGAGAGGCCGTACCCATTTTTCTAAATAGATCAGGGACATTTTTTATTTATTTTTGAAAGTGGGGTGTACCAGGTACGAGGGTGTTATCACCACGACCTACCCCTTTCCTTAATGCGTTATTGGATTACCGCGAAATCACGTCTCACATAAACGGGATAACGTGGGACGGCGGCCCCCACTTGGCGGAAGAATACTTTTCCCGTGCGGAAAATGGGGACATGGCCCTTTTTACGCGTGATCGTACGCGGGCCCTCTTTCTCTCTTAGACGTGACCGACCTTACGCGCGTTCAGTGGGCCCCCACACCATTCCTCCACCGCGCCCACTTTCTCTCTCTACACCTTGCCTCCACCCCCACCCCCACCCCCACTCTCTCTCTCTCTACACCATACCCAACTCATACGCAACGATGCTCCATTGATTCCCTCCTCTTTAGGGCAAACCTCTGCTTCTGATTCTCTCAGCCGCATGGGTGATTTGATTGTACAGGTTTCAACCTCATTCACGCCTTAGAATCCAGCTCCTCTTCATAACCATGTCACAGAAGCGTGGCAAAGAGCAGGATGGCAGTTCCCCCGAAGAAAAGCGTCAAAGAGTTCCCGCCCTGAGAAGGTCGGTCCGAAATGAAGCTCTTTTTTCGTTTTTTCTTTGTATATGTGTCTGTGTGGTTCTATGTCTAATTTGCAGTTGGGTGGTAGTGGTGGTTTGATATTTCATCTGTGATATGATTTTTTCGCGATCTGCGTTTGCCATGTGTTTTATTGCTTGCTTGATTAATGGTAGTTCGCTGATGTGATTTTTGCCATCGAAGGAGCAGATGTGGGTTTTTGTTTTTCTTGGGTTTTTGGTTTGGAGGTTTGATGAACAGTTTGCGGTTCTTTGGCAATGGGCACATACGTGTGTTATTGGATGCTATCTAAAAGCTGTCATTGCGTCGGTGTTCTCTGAATTCATGCTAAGTTTTTTTTTTTTTTGGTTTTTCTTATTTATTGATCCAGGTTTCACATTTGAAGGACATTTATTCTTAAGAAAAAGGTCTAGTGTAAACTTTCTTTGGGATTGTTTTGATATGCACGAAATGATTGGATTATATGTGGCAGAGTGATTCTGGAAGCGGTGAAGATGGACACAATTCAAAAAATCTGTTCCACATTGGAGCCCGTGCTTCGTAGAATTGTGAGTGCATTATTATTTTATCCCATGAAAGATAGTACTTCTATTCGATGTTTAGATTCTCTTACAAAACTTAAAAGCTCATTTCTTAGCCAGTGGTTTACTTAGGACTTCTGAATGTTACTCTTTTATCTGTCCTAGATGTCCACTTTTGGTTTTTATAATGTCAATAGTGAGATTTAACTTGTATTATCAGCATCCACGGATTCAAAAACTTTGTTTAGCTTGTTGAGAACAACCGACTCACTAGCTTCTGATTCTTTCTGTGAGGATGGAGATTGAACTCTATGAACATGTCTAGGTTGCAATAAAACCATCATAGAAGCTTTGTTCCCATGAAAGCATCAGAAATTCATGAAAGATATGGCTGCCAAACTATTATTAAGCAAGTTATTACTTCAAGAGTCAATAGTCATGTTAGGGGTTCATGGTCTTACTTAGCCATCCGCCCTTGATTCAGAGCTTTGTTTCCTTCCAATATGGCATTGTTTAGCTATGTTCGTAGGCCCTCCAAGTCAATGCCTTGACCTAGTAAGTGTCATGGTCACCTATATCTACAGACATACCCGCAAAGAAAACATCCGCCTCCCATCCCTTTGTGATATTCAACAAGAAAATAGTCATATCTCCACACCTATCAAAACCTATTTGCTTTGCCAAACTATAATGTCTCAAAATTCCTTGTTGCCAACCAACAACAAGTTTCAGATGGACAAAGTCGTCGTCGTCATCATCATCATCCAAGCCTTATCCCAATTATTTGGGTTGGCTACATAAATCCTGTTCCTCCATTCTTCTCTATCAAGGTCATACCCCTCAGTAAGACCAAAAGTCACCATATTTTTCTCACTATTTCTATCCATGTCTTTTTGGGCCTTCCTCTTGCCCTTTTAGAGTGTTCCACTTGAACCAAATTGTACCTCCAAACTAGTGCTGTTTTAGGTCTGCACATGGGCAGCCCCACCTGTCTATTTTCCCTTGTCGTATCGCCTATTGAAGCCACACCTAAGTTCCCTTGTATGCATTAATTTCGAATTTTATGTTTTCTTGTCTTGCCACTCAGGCATCTCAATATCTGCATTGTAGCTACGCGCATCCTATTGATATTGTTTCTTCACTGTGCAACATTATGTCCATAGAGCATGACAGGCCTTACAACTGTCGTATAAAACTTCCCCTTCAGTCTAAATGGTGTGCGAGATCACATCAAATTCTTGATGTACATCTCCACTTCGACCACCCAGCTCTAATTTTATGTGCGACATCTTCCTCAATCTCTCCATTCTCTTGGATTGTCGATGTTGGGAACAATCGTTTTTAGGTATTTCTTGACTATCAATCTCCACTACTTCCTTGTTTTTTTACTCCTATTATCACTAAATCTTCATTCCATATATTCTATCTTAATTCGACTAATTTTAAAACCTTTAGATTCTAGAGCCTCCCTCCAACGTTCTAACTTTGTCTTGACGGCACCTCTTGTCTCATCGATCAAAACTATGTCATCTGCGAACAATATACACTACGGTACCTCATCTTGTAGGTGCCTGGTTAACTCGTCCAAAACCAAAACAAAGAAATATGGGATCAATGCTGACCCTCGGTGGAGGCCTATTGTCATTGAGAACTCACTTGTCTTTGCACTAATCTTCACACTTGTTAGTGCTCCCTTGTACATATCTCTCACTATGTCAATTTAGCCTCAGTGACTCCTTTCTTTTCCAACACGTGCCAAATTAAATATCTAAGTACTTTACTGTATACTTTTTTTAAATCAATAAAGAGCACCACATGGTTTTTTCTCTTCCCCCTAAACTTCTCAATCAGTTGCCTAAGTAGGAAAATGAATTTGATTATTGACCTTCTTAGCATAAAACTGAACTGATTTTTTAATACACTTGTTTTACGCTGTAGTCGTCGCTCAATCACTCTCTCCCATAGCTTCATAGTGTGGCTCATAAGTTTGATCCCTCGATAGTTTGTACAATTCTGTATGTCTTCTTTGTTCTTGTGAATATATATCGCAATATTTTTCTCCATTTGTCTAGTAATTTATTTGTTCTCAACACCCTGATGAACAACTTGGTAAGCTAGCATATGTCAGTCTCCTCCATGCACTTCCAAAGCTCTATCGAGATACCATCTGGTCCTAAAGCCTTTCTTATTTGCATCTTTCTCAAAGCTTCTTTCACTTCAGATATCCCAACCTTACAAATGTAACTACGACCTCCACCCTCATTTATGTCAAAGGTTCCTCCTAATGTTGTGTTCCCATCACAATATTTTTCTCCATTTGTCTGGTAATTTATTTGTTCTCAACGCCTTGTTGAATAACTTAATAAGCTAGCATATGCTAGTCTGCTCCATGCACTTTCAAAGCTCCATCAGGATACCATCTGGTCTTAAAGCCTTTCTTATCTTTATAATATTATCGTTTTTGCTTAATTGCCTTCTGAACCTCCTTACTTTGAAACTAGGTTTCTTTGTCAAAATTTCTTTTCGCTCTAGTTTTTCCTAAAGCTTCTTTTGCCACTTTGTTAATGCAGTTGACCATCTCATTCCACATAACATTATCTTTTGTGCTCAGAATTTCACTTTCATTTTTATAACAACTTATCCCTTAATAAGTTCTTCTTTTTTAAATTCCACCACCTAGTTCTTGGGCACCTATTAGTTTCACTCTCTCTTCCATCTCTCTTTAGGCCGACATCCATAATCAGATGGACAAAGTCATGCCTAGAAAAATTACCTAATACCCCCAACCATTCTACCCAAAACTGTTTTTGCCGTGTGATATCTCGTACTCCAACTCATAAAGAAGCCATGTTACAAACCCGAGCGCATGTAACTTACCAATCCCATACAAATCATATTCAATAGGCAACATGTTGGGACATATAACAGTCTCATTTGGGGAGGATATTGCAAAGGAGAGAGTCAAAATGCTTAAGAGGTTCATGATTGGAGGTTTTAAACCCAAAAGACACTACCCAAAAGACACGACCTAAAAGGTTTGGAAGCTTGGATGAACTAGGGTCTGGAAAATTTCCTCCTAGGTGCTGTGCAAATTTCTGAAAACTGAAGATATTTTTTGGTCTTGCCATAAAAAACTAAGATTGAAAGAAGCTTGGTTTTCAACAATGGAGGTTCAAAGGGGCTGCCCTTGCCATCTCACCTTGGTCCTCCTTTTATACAATTTTCTTTTTTGGGGAAAATTGTTGATGATTTATATACATAAATGTAGAATATGTCCATATAAATCATAGTTAGCGGCAGTGTTTCAAAACTTAGAACGGTGGGGTGGATCGTTCATGCACAAATCCGTGTTGGATCGCTGAATTGAAGATTCGTGTCGGGTTTGGATATGTTCAAATCGGTGATCCAAAAAAATATTAAAAAATAGATGAAATAAAATAAAAATTGAAATAGAGATTTACGGGGTGAGGATTTAGAGAGGACCCAAGAAAACATTAAATAAGCTTAAAAGAAAAAGAAAAAATATATACAACGAGGTTTTAGGGGGATCTGGGCTGTGACCTATACCATCCCTAGAACCGGTTCGATCTTGATCGATTCCTATTTGGATCGGCAATCTGGGTTGAAAATTGCCAGGTTTTAAAACACTAGTTACCTAGAACAAGAACAAGGGGATCTATAAGATCTGAAGTCGGAATGCAGAAGCAAGGGAGGCTCGAAGATCTGTAGTTGAGGGAATGAGTTCTGTAAATCGTGAGGTAAAGGAATTGGGATCCTTAACATTAAGTGAATGTGTTCCATAATTTCCCAGGAGCGAATGCTAAACTGAATGGGATAATGGTCCATTGAGCTTAGGATTGAAGCTTCCACGGATCACTTATCCACAACATTCTAGTTCGGGAGCGAATTCCATTGAACAATTATTTAAGCAAGTTTCACTCTAAAAAATTACTCATGTGGGTCCATTATATGCACATGACCTCATATTTGGCATCAATCAATTGGATTGGATGATTCCCCCTTGACTATCAATTAATGATTATATTTAAGAATGTTGTGATAGATTCTGCTCCGATACATAACCTTTTCTTAAAAATAAAAATAAATGTTGCCATATATAATTCTTAATCGCTCTCCTTCGTCAAAGATTGCTAGGTGCTCAAGGACTATAGAGAAGAGAGATCTCACATTTCTTAGCATTTATGTTATACCATCACCCATAAGGCAACCCCATGAGTGGCTCATTTGAGTGACCGACACTCAATCAATAGAAGTCTTTCGCAAGGTGGACAGGAGCCAATCAACTAGCCCCAAATAAATTAGGCCTATTGACCGGCAACCTCATTCCTCAATTTGAACCGCAACTTTACTGTCTTTTTTATCTCTTTCCATTGTCTTCCTTCTCTCTTCCTGCCCGCTCTGGTTGCCTTTCTTTGAAACTAGTCAAGTCATAATTCACAAGGTGTACGAAGTTGTAAACTGTAAAATGTATACAAAATCATGGCCTTTAAAAACTTTGTTGGTCACAAAAATTGGAGATCCACACCCCATTGTATATGAATATGAAAATTTGCTGGTGAAGCTCTCTCCTAAAGTATAATATGCTCAACTCCAAGTTGGTGGATTCACAGTTCCAGTTATTCATGGAACCATGATTTTGGGCATAGGGATCTGGATCTCATTCACTTGGGATCTAGTTCCTCAATTTTCTGAATTGAGATCCTTGAATAAAGGAAATGCCTGAAATCAATATCCCATGTCTCGGAGCGTACGATTGAGTTTTTGTAGCAGGAGCGACCCCCTCCTTAGAAGATCTTAATGATTATGATATAAAGTGCTCCCAAGTGGGGTATGGCTGCCCGCAAGTGGGGTGCTCTACAAAAATTATCCCATATTCTTGCTATGATAAAAAGGAAAGGGAAGGAGATTGAGTAACAAAGCATGGGTGAAAGACAGTGAGAGGACAAGTGCAATATGATAGACTCATGGCTAGAGAGGCAGGGCGATATGGAAAGAAAAAGAGGATA